GAAAATTAAAACTTAGAGAAATAAGTAAGTTACTCAAGTCACACAGTCACATAATTAACAGAGTAAAGATAGGAACTTGGGTCTTTCTGCTACAGTATCCAGGTTTACTCCATCTCCCTTTCCCTGCCCTCTCGTTCATTTAATAGAACTATTTCCTCATTCTTGTTATTAATGCCATGTTCTTCTTTCCTACTATCCTTTTTTGCTTGCCTTTTTTCTCAGAGGAAGAAGTGTTCCCTCACCCCATGGCTAGATTAGCTTCTCTTCTGATGAACTTGCTCTTACCCTGTGTCTTCTTCAGGACTTTGCTCTATCAATCATTTAGGCTCTTGAATTGTGAATTTCTTCTTTTCACTTTAGCATATGAGTAGACTCAAGTCATGCCTGAACCCCCATCCTTACCCTTGATCCTGATAAGCCTTTAAGTTCTTCCCTCCTTTATTACATCTACTAAGAGACTTCTAGAAAATGCTGCTACATTTGCTATTTTTCTCTTAATTGAAATTACTCTCTTTAAAGTCTCTGAGTGTGTGTGTGTTGGGGGTGGAGGTGCATGGCAGGGGCACCTGGGTGGCTCAGCCTGTTAAACATCTGCCTTTGACTCAGGTCATGATCTCAGGGTCCTGGGATGGAGCCCTGTTCAGTGGGGAGTCTGCTTCTCCCTCTCCCTCTGCCCTTTCCCCCAATCCTTCTCTCTCTCGCTCTCACACACTCTCTCAAATGAATAAAATATTTTTTTTTAAAAAGTCTCCAACTGGGGAGAGTTATTGCAACCTTTTCCACCCAAAAGAGGAGAAGATATTATATTGTGTTACAGGTTCTATTCCTGGTTGGGTCGTGGTTATTAGTGGACAAGATCAACGTGTGTTAAAATATCATCCATGACTCATGCTTTCTTTTGTGTTTCCTATTCCCTGTCTCCCTGTAATAAGCAGATCTAGATAGGGCATTGGTCTAGTGGGGCATGTTGATTGTCTTTTTTTCTTACCCTGAATTCTTTCCCTCCCTCATCCCATCTTTCCTACTCCTTAAAGCAAGTTGAAGAAAGACAAGATTTTGGGGGGACTGCCTAAGCACCCATTGTTACATTTCATAAACATGCCAAGAGACCCACACTTTACCTTTGTACCTATTAGCAATATAGTATGTTTATTCTGGTGCTGCTGTTGTCTATTACTTGTACAGAAAAAAGGAATTGTCAATAGGGCAGGATTCTGGCATTACTGAGTTCCTGAACATAAGACCATGAGAACAATATTCTGATTCTCAGCAATCACCTTTCGCCCCTCCCAGCTTTATTGTGGCATGATCGATAAATAAAAATTGTATATATTAAGGTGTTAATATGCATATACATTGTGAAATAATGACCATAATGAAGCTAATTAGCATATAGTATATTCACCACCTAACAGGGTTTTTTTGTGTGTGTGAAAACACTTGAGATATATTCTATTAGCAAATTTAAAGTATACAACATATTATTATTAACTATTAACTATAGTCATGGTGGTATACTTTAATCTTCACCATTGACTTTTTCATAGGAATAGTTAATGATTTCATATGAATTTTTATTCTCTTTGATGTTTATGCAATATATTTGACTTGCTTAGCTTGTCTCTCATCCTTGAAATGCTTTACTTAGTTTTTATGCCATGTCATTGTACTAGCTACTTATAGTAACTCAAATCTGTTGGTTTTATGGTCCAGTATTTCTTTACTTGTCTTCTGGCAAAATTCTATCCAGATTTCACAACCTCGGCCATATGATTTACCTCCATTCATAGCTCAAGATGTGGACAATGGTAGGCCCTAACTGGTTAGCAAGCAATCTCTCAGCTACAGTAAGTGGGTCAAGGATAGGCATATAATTGACAGATCTAACTGGATACTGTACAATAAGTTTTTGAGGACTTCAGAGAAAGAAACCCTTTTTTGACCCTTAGACATGATTGGATATAAAGCTTACTGTAGCCATGTGACCACCATGTGGAATTTGAAAGTGGAGTTTGAAAATGGAATTGGAAAGTGGAGAGATGGAGCAAAGTCTCTTCTTGGGGACATGCTGGAGTTTGAGTCCTACATCCAGCTTCTTTGAAAACAGCCTATTATAGACATTTCAGAGACAGGAACCAACAAAGTCTCTCTCTTCCTTATGATTTTGGTTTAAACCAGTTTGATAGGGGTTGTTTTCTCCTTTGTAATCTAAATAATGCAAAAACAAAACAACCTTTGCATTTTATTATGTACCCATAAATGCACAATACATACAAATTCATAGGGAAATTTCTAGAAAGATACATATCAAAGTGGTAGGAGTGGTTATCTCTGAGGAAGGAGGGCTCTTATGGCAGGAGAGATGATTAGGAAGAGATTTATGTGTTTCTTTTTAGACTGTTTTACAGAAGGATCAATTACTCATAAAATTAAAAAATAACATCCAATAAACACAAAGACAACACTGCTACTACCCCCACTACAGACAACAACAACAACTTCTACAGAATTAGTAACCCAATTCATTGGTCTGATACTCAGGATCTAGAGCGGTGTAACTAAAACCTCTTCTACCCCTCTTCCTTTGCACACTCCCTACTGAGCAGGGAGCCCAACAGGAGCCTGAGCCCAGGACCCTGGGTTCATGACCTGAGCGGAAGGCAGACGTTTAACCCACTGAGCCACCCAGTTGCCCCTTTTCCCCCTCTTCTATGGCAAATCCTTAGTGTTCCTGGAGGTTTGTAAAGCAAATGTACTTAAAACAGGGGCTTTTGAACTTACCTTGCAAACTAATCATGATGTTTATAATTATTATTTACTCTGTAATGACAACCACTTGTATTTCAAAATATGTTTCCATGCTCTCTCTAGCCAATGAGTAGTTGCTGCACCATTTATCTGCTCTGCAAATAAGAAAACAAGGCACAAAGTAACCTAGAGCTTTGTTCCAAGTTGAACAGTAAAACAGAGATAGTGATGGGACTAATGTCTTGACTCTCCGCTGATGAGCTTTCCATTTCACCATAGTCTGCAGCTGGATCAGGATTCAGGGAACTCCATTTAGGAATCCTCTCTGGTGTAAAATAAACTTGGCTCCTTCCAACGCGGAGGAGAACTCTGCTTAACTCTCTGATAACTTTTTTTTTTCATGTCGTATTTCTTTTGAGTTATAATCTGACCTTAGATTTATAAATGTCCTGATGATACAGAATCATTTTAAGTGGTTTAGTGTTCTGTGACACCAAATCTGAATTTCTATCGAAGAATACTCAGGAGCACTTACTACACCTGCTTGGAATAAAAGGCAGTTTGTTGTAGCTCAACAAGAGGAACTCTTAACAATATCAGCTGATTCTCATGTAGGGAGTTGGTCTCTTTAAAAATGGTGAGCCGATTCACCACCAGGGGGCACAGGTTTTCTATAGTAAACGCGGAAAAAGATGCGCTCTCACCTGAATCTTTCTTGAAGTCTGAATATTAAAGAGTTCCTTGCTCTGGAGCTAAGAGCTCTTTGTTTCATTGATCCCTATGAATCAGGATAGAGCCTTGCTTTAAAGCCACACAATCAGTTTAAACAGTTAAACCCTCTCAGCTCATTCATTCATTTTTCCTTGTTGCTGGAAAAGAAAGTGCTATATTATGGAGATAATCATGACAATCCAAATGAAAGCAATTTTGGCAAATTCTAATAAAACTTTTTGTTGAAATAGGGATGACAAAATCTTTTTCTCTAAGAGGAAAAAACTGCATGGAAAACAGGCCTCAGGCTAAGAAACTTTTGCTCAAATAAAGGAAATAAGGGCCCCGGAATTGTAAGAAATAGAATCATATGTTGCTTTAACTCATGCCCTCAGCCTGAAGAACGAAAGCAAATTAGAGAGAAACCTTTCTCTTTTGAAGTGGAACTGTATAAAATGATTTTCAAATGACTTAAAGTGGAGGGGACTCAAAAACAGGCAATTAATTTAACAGTTTAAAAAAATCAGTTACAAATAATGCTATCTATGTTTTGTTTCAAGCAAATAAGGTACCTCCTTTATTTGGTGCGCATGTTAGGGGAGGGAGGTGGAGGCTGCCTATTAAATCAGAGATCGGATTCTACGGGTTTAATTTCTACCAGTGGGAAGTATCTGGTTATACACCAGTGGAATGCATACATGTAAATTTTCTTTTACACATCAGGGATTCATGGAGAATTTTGGGATTCATCGGCAGGAGGGGTGCATTACCTCTGTCCTTAAAGAATTAAGATGCACCATATCTTTACAATAAGCATAAATCGAGGAGGGACTGGCAATGAAGGGAGACTGCTTGTAGAGATGGGAGAACACAGCTCTGAATGCTCCAGAGCAAGCTCATTTACGTCACACTATTATAGAAGAAAGAAAGCTTGCTATGTACCATATATCTTCCTAGGCCTTTTCCAGCTTTGGCCATCCCTAGGTTGTTAGAAGGCAGATCAGGCTGTTTTAAGGGGTTCTCTCCTTCGCTTCCCACACTGTGCAAGCATTGCAGATCTTTTCTCTTATCTGAAGCCTATTAACTTGACATTCCCACATTGGCCAGCTCCCCAGCTGCAGCCCCAGGCCTGGGTTATTTCCTAAGGATGCCAGTATCTTAAATTAATTAAGGAACCTGGGTCAGAGGTCGCCCCAGACTGGGAGGGTGGGGTTTAGAGGTCTCGGGCGGCCCGAGCCTGGCCCCACCCAGGGAGGGGGCGGAGCGTCTCCGCGGCCCTGCCCCGCTGGCCCGGGGTGCACGTGACCCGAGGCCCCGCCTCCCGCCCGCTCCGCAGCGCCAGCTCGGCAGGCGCGGGGCGTGAGTCTCGAGTGAGACCCGCCAGGCTCCAACTCCGCAGCGCCGGAGCTCCGCGGGCAGCAACTTTCTCCCCCGAGCGGCCGCGGCCGCGGCTGTTGCCGTGGCAGCCGGAGGAGGAAGGCGGCGGCGTAGGTCCTGCCCTTTTGGGCTGTCCAGCCCTCGGAGACCGCCGGCCCGCGGAGCCTCGCCCCCCGGGAAGTCCCGGGCCCCTGCCCTATGTCCCGCAAGGCGAGCGAGAATGTGGAGTACACGCTGCGGAGCCTGAGCAGCCTCATGGGCGAGCGGCGCAGGAAGCAGCAGGAGCCAGACGCGGCGAGCGCGGCCGGGGAGCGCAGCCTTCTGGCGGCCGCCGAGTCGAGCGCCAGCCTGCAGAGCGCGGGCGCGGGCGGCGGCGGCGTCGGGGACCTGGAGCGCGCGGCGCGGCGGCAGTTCCAGCAGGACGAGACCCCCGCCTTCGTGTACGTGGTGGCCGTCTTCTCCGCGCTGGGCGGCTTCCTGTTCGGCTATGACACCGGCGTGGTGTCGGGGGCCATGCTGCTGCTCAAGCGGCAGCTCAGCCTGGACGCGCTGTGGCAGGAGCTGCTCGTGTCCAGCACCGTGGGGGCGGCCGCCGTCTCGGCGCTGGCCGGCGGGGCCCTCAACGGCGTCTTCGGCCGCCGCGCCGCCATCCTGCTGGCCAGTGCCCTCTTCACGGCCGGGTCCGCGGTGCTGGCCGCGGCCAACAACAAGGAGACGCTTCTTGCCGGCCGCCTGGTCGTGGGGCTCGGCATCGGTGAGTTCATGCTCTGCGAAGGGCGCCCTTGACCCTGGTCCCTGCATTCCTTTTGCCCCGCCGAGGTCCCCGTCCGGGCTTAGTGGCCCCGAGAACACTCCACATGTCTGGTTCCGAGAGCCCATCTGTTTGTTACTCTGGGCTCTAAGTGTCCCGCGGAGGGTGTGTGGGGGTGGTTGTTCGCTGTGGCCTCTCAGAAGCCCACGTGGAATCTCGATCTCCTCCCATGTTAAGTGAGTCCGCGCGATGTTACATCTCCTAGCTCTTCTATGAACCCCAGCCATCGCCTTGATCCAGCCCTACCTGATGTCCCTCTAGAGCTTCTGAGGGGAGGGTCTCTTTACTGTATTGTCTCACTTTTTCAACTGCTAGCCCCTTTCCTTTTCTAGGATTCCAAACTCCAAGTCCCATCAGTCTTAAATTCCCAGTAAGATAATTTTTAAAGTTAATCAAGTGATTCTGGACTTTATTCTTTGCTACCCATACACTCGTTCCTTCTCTAGTCATTTCTTTGGAGTATTAGTTAGTTTTTTTTTTTTTTTTTTCCCTTTTGCCATCACTGTTTTGTTGCCTCTTGCTTTCATATATTTTCCCAAATGAATTCCTTCTCTGTGTTTTTCTAACTTTTTCCTATAAATCCACATCCACCGATTCTTTTTTGCTTTGCCTCTCTTTTCGTTGGGAACCAAATTATCTATTAAAGGTCATGTTCACTTATTAAATTCATTTAGGAGCCACTCCCCCTGTGGATAAATGCCCAGCAAGATAGATGTTTGCAATTCCTTCAAAAATGAAAGGATTAAGGTTCCCTTGGCATTGATTTTTCACCCTGGTTGCTGAACAGGGGAGGTACAATTGGCAAGTTCTTGGCAGACAGAAGCTATTTGGAATGTGCTCGGTATTATTAGAAAGCACTTTTGATGGAAAGTAGGGGGTTGAGACATAAATCTAGTAATTTTTCTAAGACATGCTGCTGATGCTTTTTAAGTGTTTCATTTTATAAGTCAGTTTGTTTCCTTTAGAGTGCTGTTGAAGTTGTCTCCCCCCTCCCCCCATGGCTGGTGCTTGATGAAAACTCTTTAAACCTGGGACTCCTAATGATTTGTCCATTCACCGCTTGACATACTATGTTTTTCACCCCCTTCCTTATAGTCTCTAAGGGCAAGTGAGCCCCATTTATACAATTCCCCGTTTAGGAACCATGAGACCAAACTCTAGCTCACTGCACTTTATATCCCAAATCTGTCATTACTGACTTTTGTTTATTGTACTGTTAATCAGTGAAGTAGGGGCAGTCTCTCAGTAAAATAGTAAGTTGGCACATTAAAGTCCAAAATGACCGAAAAGTACAGCTGAAATGAAACCTCTTTGTAGAGGAACTACCTGTGCCTTCAGGACCCTTCTATAAATAACTTGCGGTTAAAGTCAAATGATCAGGTTTCTTTTCTCCCTATTTTCTGCTTGGGACGCATGAACCATGTTTATTGTTCCTTCTCACCTAGAAATAACAATTTTAGGTGGCAAGATTTGTTCAGTAAGAGTGAATCTTGCGATTTTGAAATTGGATAATGTTTTGCAGAGATCTTTGAATGAAGCTTCCTAGAGTTTAGGTGTGACAAGTATTGGGTATTTGGATACTCTGTTTACTCTTTATCTGCAGGGAAAATTGAGCCCCTGTTCTGGGTAGTAGAGTGGTGAAGAGGATTTAACTCCAGTAAGAGTAGCAGGATGGGAATAATCCAGACAGAACTAGTGAGGCTCCCTGAGAAGATCTGTCAGGGAGAGAGGGCTGATGCATTCAAAAAGGGTGCAGTTATCCTAAGAGAAGGAAGCTGGAAGCTCTTCCTTGGAGAAATGGTATGTTGACACATGAATAGTGTTTTAACAGAGATGCAGAACAGACCTTCTAAGCTCGGGGAGCAAGGTGGTTGCAACAAAGAGAATGAAGAGGAGGTAAGATTGGAAAGGTTGATGTGCGGAAACTGTAGACACGTGTGTATCTCACAGCCTTGTTCTTTGGCACCTGGGTGGCTTGCCTGTCTCTGCATCCCAGTTGAGACATGGTCCTGATTTAGTCCTGGTGAGACCCATCTGTCAGAAAGACACTCTTAGAATAGAAGCCCTGATACAAAGTAACATAGGCCTTCTTTACTTATAAAATGAGGAATGCTAAAGTCATGAACAAGCTTTGAAATAGATCACATTTTGAATTAGGATTATACAAAGCATGTAATTGTACATGTAATATCCTTAAAACTCACAAGGATTACTCACTTCCCAAAGGAGAAGTCACAATTATTTTTAGTTACAAAGAAATGTATCCTTAACATGAGCTTTTTGGGAGGGGCTAGGGAGACACTAAATCAGTTTTGCTTGCTTAAATACACTAAATCTGGGTGAATTTCGTGCCTTTTTTTTTTTTTTTTTGAGTAATTAAATTTTATGGGGAGTGGGAAGTTTGTTTTTTGTTGTTTGTTTTTTTATTTGGTCCTGTTGATACTTAGTAATGTTGATGCATAACAAAATGGGCTTTTGCTATTTTTTTCAGACAAATTTGCTGTTATAATCTCTTCCACAGATTTACCCATAGTAAATATAAGCCCATAGGGACAGAGCTTTTGTTCATTTTGTTCACTGATGTGTATTCCTAGCCTATAGGAGGCACTTACTGTTTGGAATAGTGAGCAGAAACATTAAAAAAATCATTCCATTTCTGTTAGGGTACCATTTTAACACAGGATTGCTCTTTAAAAAAGTGTTATTATCAAAATATTTGAAAGGCCATTTAAGGGTTTTAGTTTCTAATACTTTAATGCAATCATTCATCTATTCAACAAATGCTAATTAAGCTTCCATTATTGATTCTGTCAGATTTGGAGTAGGCAGTAACTAGATAAAAATCCCACCCTGGAGGTGTTCATTCTCTAATAGAATGGAAAGACCATCAACAAACAATTAAAATACAATAGAAGTTTCTCTGAGCCAGGAGTATAGGCTGTTGATTCTTTTGGGGGGAAAGTAAATAGAACACATGGGAGGTTTTACAAATACGTATTTAAAATGGGGTGTAAAGGGTAGGTAGGAGTTGAGATGTAAAGGTAGCTGGGAAAAGGAGCTAATATTTAGTGCTTTAGTTTCTACTAGGCATCCTGCATTACTTTACCTATGTTATTTCATTTATTCTAACTCTGAAGTAGATGAGAAACAGGTCCACTTTTGCTGGATGTAGAAACAGTTTATAGCAGTTAAATGACAAGGTCACTGGTACAAAGGATTAAAAAAACAAAGACTCAGTCTTTTGCTTGTATTACTCTACTGGGCATTTACGGTAGCATTAATAGCAAGTGTAAAGGCATAAAAAAACAGTTTTAGAAGCACAAAGTGAATGAAGGGTGGTGATGGGCGCTCATGAAACTAGAATGATGTTTCAGCGTGGGGGGCGGTTTATGCTGAATAGGGATTCTTTGATGACAGTGCCTATATAGGGACAATCATGGGAGGTTTTTAGCTATAAATGATGTGATCAGATTAAACATCCTTTGTTATTTGGTCTTTTCTCTCCACACCCTTTTGCCTTTAAACTCTAATTTCTTCCACAAACCTTCTTACCTCTTTGAATTTGTAGTATTAGAAATTCTTTGCTCAGATGGTTACTGCAGGGTGGGTCCGGCATAGCAAGTGGCCATGAATTACTGGAGTAGGAAGAGTGTGGGGTGGGAAGGCTTCAACAGAAACCTTTGAAAAAGGTTAAAGATAAAGATAACTAAGCAGTAGAGTGTAGTTGTTAGTCTGTATTAAATGAGTCGTATGGTAAAAGAAACCTCAGAAATTGGGTATCAGTGTTTGATTTTGTTTTCTTTTTACAACAAAATCAGCTGACCAAGTGCCTGGTTGAATAGGGCATTTCTTTAGACTTTTGTTTTCACCAGAGGTACCCTTTGGTTCCTCTGGTTTATTTTGCTCTTGTCTTGAGTTGAGTTCTGGGACCAGACTGTCTCATTTAGTCCTTTCTCCACGGTGTTGGCATTTAGTCTACTGCTCATTACAAGCAGTGACTTAGTGTCTGTGTAGCAAATATCAAGAAGTGTCTAAATTCAGATATTCACCAATATTTAAAACCTTTACTGAGAATTGACATTAATAATACAGCACCCGGTTTGTTGAATTAATCTTAGATCTACATCAGTTTTTCCCGTCCCAATACTCCCTCTACTGGAACACAGTTTGTGGCTGCGTATTGTTCCTTGTAATCAGTCTGTTATAACCTGTAGAGTAATATTTCTAAAAATAAAACTTTTTTTTTCAGATAGCACTTTGAAATCTTTTCTTTGATGCAAAGCAAATGTAAAGTCTTGTTTGATCAAAAACTCACTCAGTGGCGCCTGGGTGGCTCAGTGGGTTAAGCCTCTGCCTTCAGCTCACGTCATGATCTCAGGGTCCTGGGATCGAGCCCCACATTGGGATTTCTGCTCAGCAGGGAGCCTGCTTCCCCCTCTGCCTGCCTCTCTGCCTACTTGTGACTTCTCTCTCTGTCAAATAAATAAATAAAATCTTAAAAAAAAAAAACAAAACTCAGTACTGAGATTAAAGTCAGTAAAGAATTTAGGTAAACAGGATTAGTTAGAATCAACCAGGTTTTTAAAATATCAGCTGATGTAATTTTATTTTTGTTATTTGCCATCAAGTTTATTTTTCCTACTCCCCGCCACCCTCCACCTCCTGCCTTTTCTTTCAGTTTCATCTTTTAAAGCAGATTTCTTTTTTGGATTTACCAACATGAAACTGACATGTAAAGTAAAGCTTTGTTTTACTTCCTCTGCGTGTTTCAGACACATAGTATGTGCCCCACGCACTCTACTTTTCTGTCTGGTGGCAGAGTTACATGGAGGATTATGACCTAATTATGTTTGCCTAGTAGTGTGGCAACACCCTCCTCCAGTGAGTTATCAGTAGGATGACAGAGAAGCCTGTTAACATGTGTTCTATGAAGTTGTTCATGT